ATTTTTATTAAAAATAAAATTATTTTAAAATTAATACTAAACGCACCATTCCTATCTGAAACATGACTGAAGGAAAAAAGGAGCGAGTGATAGAGCGCTTGACATAGTTAGTGTTGCTAGCATTCCTCATTTCACACGCACCGACGACAATTCAGTTGTGTTGAAAATAATCGCGGTTTAGGCGAAATTAGTATAATTATCATTTGCTTAAGCACATTCGGTCACTCACCGGAATCTCTCTCTATTAGAACGGCGACTGGGCACTTTCGATTAGGATTTTCCGTCAAGTAAACCCGGAAAATTTCCCGAGAAAGTTACAAAAAACCCTTTTGCGTAGAATAGATACTCGAATAAATTATAAATGTGGAGGAGATCAGCTTCTTTCATTCTCGACAATCAGCAGCGACGAAAAGACGTTGCTTCGTCATCAAAGCCCGAATCCATTTCTCTTTCCCCTCCCCAATTGTCTTCCATGGCCGACGCCTTCCAAAACCCCAATTCTTCAAACCCTAAGAACTCGGCCTACTACCAGACCAGGGCGGCCCACCACGGTGTCGTCACCAGCGACTGGCTGGCCCAGGCCCAGGCCGCCGTGGGCCGCCCCCCGGACGACCAGGCCTCGTCGGAGCCCGAGGTCCCCGCTGCCGCCGCTGCCGCCTCCGAGCCGGGAAGGCCGTTCTGCGTCATCGACGAGTTCAACAACTGGCGGAAGCAGCCCGATTTGGCCGAGGCCGTGGCGGCGATTCGGGCCTTGGCCACCGTCATCAGGTCCAGCGAAGCCACCACCATGATGGAGCTTGAAATCGAGCTCAAGAAGGCCTCCGATTCCCTCAAAGTCAGTTCTTTTCTCCTCTCTTGGTTTTCTCTGAAAATTTAGTTGCTTTCTTAAGCTTAATTTGTGTTGAAGGCACCCACTTTGTTTTTCTTGCACTGAAAATTGAAACTTAAACGTTTCTTTCTATGAGGATTTGGTGAAAAGGCAATCTAGTTCACCAATGCAAGGGTTTGTTGTGGACCAAACAGGTTCTGAAATGTAGTATTGTGCTTTGGAAATCCCCAATAAGACCATCATATAGATGAAAATTGAAATCATGAGGGAAATCAATGTTATGATTGAGGTAATGACTCTAACCTCAGCTAATTTTAAATCTGGGGTTTCCCCTGGAAGAAGCTTTTAACGAATTTTGACGCAGCACGCATGCATTGCAATGCAAATGGGCATAAGAATCTTAGGTCATCAAGCGGATGGCGGTATGTCATTTGTTTGCCGCGTTTAAACTCAGTTTCTTCTTCTCACAAAAAATTTGAATTTCAAATGCCAAAATTAAGAATCACTGATTTAAATGCATGAATCAAACGGACCCTAAGTTCAGAGTGAATAGTAGTAGTAAATGCTGGAAATCTCTTTAAGTAGATTGGTTTGCTCTGTGCCTATTTGAACGATCGAGGAGAGCTCCTAGGTTCATCAGGTAAAAGGCTTTGGCGGTTGAGACCAGATTTTGTACTTAGAATAAAAGGAAAACGGGAAAGTTGGTAAATTCAGTGGGCATATTAAGGGCTTATTTGGTTCACTGACTTGAACCCATGATTTTGTTTATGCTCTCTCCTAAAAAATTTGAATACAAAAAGTTCCCACCAATAGGCCCTCTCATAAAATTTGAATTCAGAATTAAAATTGTTAGGATTTTGTTAGTTGGCAATGAGTTCTAAAAATTCAAAAACAGGTACTAAATTGTTAGGATTTTGTTAGTTGGCAATGAGTTGTAAAAAATCCAAAAACAGGTACTTTTGGCAACTGGTGTTTATAAAGAAGATTTGAGGAGATTTGATTGCTTTTGAAATTATGAAGATTCCTGGAGATTTGGGATTAGTTCTATTTGAGGAAAGAAAAGATAGTTTTGGTATGATTGAGGTATTCAAATTAGGAGATTTTGTAGATATTATGAGAGATAATTACATGAAAAAGGGCAGCACATTTGAGTTGACAAATCCGAATTAATGGAGAAGGAAAACTAATCACGTGGAGTGCAAGAATGTCCGAATCAAGCTTGGTTTATCCTCGGGATATATATATATATATATATATATATATACACTGTAGATGTACGTGGAGAGGTTTGGCTTGCTTTTGGAAGGTGCTGTACAAGAAGCAAATATGGGATATGGCTTGACAGCTTGCGTAAAGGAATTGATTCGAAATTCAAATGTGGTGATCAAGCTATTGATTTGAAGTTAATTTGAAATCTGAATAAAGATAGGGGGCTGCGCGTATATTTGGAGATGGGGTAATTGTGAGTAATTAGTCAAGATAGAATCGTGGAAAAAAGTGTAGGATATTCAAATTGAATTTGAATTAATTCACGGAGGATGTTGTGAAGCCTTATTTTAAGGTGCCTTTTTTGCAGCTCATTTTGACACGTATTGAATAGAAGATTTTCAGAAAAAAAAAAAAAAAAAGCCTGTGAGTTTGAGAGCTTTGAGCGTCATTGATTTCGTCCTTAGGGATAGGGATTAGAAGTTTTCGGGAGAAAGCACACTGCCAGTCGATGAGATTTCGCCGTGCAGTTTGAAAACGAGTGGTGCTCACTAGACAAGACCATTAAGGAGATTTGATATGGCGTCGACAACGTCAAGGAGGGAGCTTTGGGTGTGTTAGTCCGATTGGTGTTTGTAATCTTGAGACTTAGTGGATTGTTCACTGTCTGGGCGTGGCCCTGTAGATGTAAGTGTGCGCACCGAACTGCGATACTAATTCTTGGTGTTCTTTATGTTTCTGCACTATTCTTTCCTGCTTGATTGCTTTGACGTTTCTGCACATAATCGTTGTAGTTAATCGTCAGTGTTACAGAAAGTGTTATAACACTCTGGAACACCTACGTAAAAAGCAAACCTTATAAAAATCACTAACTTGAACCCATGAACAAACATGCCATAAGTTTGAAGGAGATACTTTTATACTAAGTGGGCACAGGATTGAGTTGTATGCTGAAAATAAAAGAAGAGCATGGGATCAACCGTGTGGTGGATTATGGTTTCTATAGGAAGAATTTAGCCTTTATCTTTCTTATATGATGCAGAAAAGTAAAGTTTGATAGTTAAAGGTACCTCTTTTTCTGAGCTACCTTTTGTTCTTCGTGCACTTTCCAGTCATGGGACACGACCTCTATCTCTTTGACAGCAGGCTGTGATCTTTTCACGAGATATGTGACTCGAACTTCAGCTCTAGAATATGAGGACTTTAATTCAGCCAAGTCTCGATTGATTGAACGTGCAGAAAAGTTTGGGGAGATATCCTACAAGGTATTTACATTATTTTTAGCTCTAAGCAAAATATTTTTCATTAGCAAATCGTTTAACATTTTGGTGTATCCATTGTTCTGTATTGTATTTGCAGGCACGTAGAATCATTGCAATGGTTAGTCAAGACTTTATATTTGACGGTTGTACCATTTTGGTTCACGGTTTCTCAAGAGTGGTTTTAGAAGTTCTCAAGACTGCAGCACAGAGCAAGAAACTCTTTCGAGTTTTTTGCACAGGTTTTCTTCTTTAAGACCCAGACATTTCTTATTATTGAATAGAATTGTTAAATTACCGAAGCGGAAGCTAAGCTGCTTACAAATGAGTTTTCAATTAGCAATTCTTTTACTTTTGATATCACTTAAAAGTTTCATAGCTACTGAAGGAGCAAGGTCTTGATTGATTAAGCTTTATATTACTTCTTGACATTATACGGAGTAAAATCATTCGATAGAATTAGTGGAAAACATCTGCATATGGTTGTGACTTGTTAAGTAAAATTCGCCTTCTATACTTGAAAGTTAAAATACAGAAATCTATGTGATGGCCTGTTATCAGCTAAATGCGACCTGACCATCTTTTTCTTGAAAAGAAGTGGAGAAGCTTTCTTTGTATTGTATCGTACCTGTTATCGGGCATTGTAATTTTACTTTTTTCCTTGAAACTGCAGAGGGTAGACCAGACAGAACAGGTTTACGGTTGTCAAATGAGTTGGCCAAGCTTGATGTTCCTGTAAAGCTTCTGATTGACTCTGCAGTGGCGTATACCATGGATGAGGTTGACATGGTATTTGTAGGGGCGGATGGAGTGGTGGAAAGTGGAGGAATAATTAACATGATGGGAACATACCAAATTGCACTTGTGGCTCACAGCATGAATAAACCAGTTTATGTGGCTGCCGAAAGCTACAAGGTGCGTGAAAGTTGTTCTTTGTTCTTTGAACCTATCTAGTAAACAAATCATTTGTTGCTTTTAGCATATTCTTTTGATATATTAGGTTAGCAGACCACTCTAGAGCCTAAGTCAACTATCGTTTATTTTAACTCCAAAAATCTTTACATACTCCATTTTTTGTTTTGCAGTTTGCGCGTCTTTACCCCTTGGACCAGAAAGACATGGCCCCAGCTTTACGCCCAATTGATTTCGGGGTACCCATCCCATCGAAGGTCGAGGTTGAAAGGTCTGCCCGGGATTATACCCCTCCCCAATATCTCACTCTACTCTTTACAGATTTGGGTGTTCTTACTCCATCAGTGGTCAGTGATGAGCTCATCCAGCTATACTTGTAGACCTTCATTGATACACAAATATTTCGTGAAGATTATGCGTGGACGCTTCCCGTGAGATGCTATAAATTTGATTGGAAACACATGAATTTTGCAACCTGGATCAATTTTGGTGGATGTTCTCATGTATTCTTGTTAGGGGTGGCAATTCATGTTACGTGTCGTGTTTTGATCGTTTTTTTTTTTAATTTGCAGTCAATCTAAATACGACATGTGACACGAAATTTTTTAAAAATCACAATACGAATACGACACGACCACTTTACAGGTTGACACGACAATACACGAAAATAATCCGTGACACGAAATTGACCCGTGAATCTGAAATTGACACGAAAATTGTATGCAATACGAACACGACACGACCACTTTACAGGTTGACATGACAGTACACGAAAATAATCCGTGACACGAAATTGACCTGTGAATTCGAAATTGACACGAAAATTGTGTACTTTTATTTAAATTTTTACATATTAAAAACACATTAAAATACAATAACATCTATTGAAATTAAATAAATAATAGTATAAGATTTTGAGTATAACTATTATGATTTTACAAGTTCATAATAAAATAAAAAATATGTAATGAAAAATATATATTTTTTAATTTTTTACGAGTTTCGTATCGTGTTCAGGTTAGGCGGGTCTAACCTGAAATTGACCGTGTTTTTCGTGTTAATTTTAAGTTGATTCAATTCTGACCCGAATCTTTTTTTTTTCTTCTCAAGCTTAATTCGTGAAATTCGTGTCGTTTTCGAATTGTATTGTCGTGTCGTGATTCATATTACCGAATTTTTGCGCATGATGGAAGGGCCTTTTTGTAGCAACTTGTAAAGTGATCTTTTCATAATATGTTCAATAATCATTCGATTAGACCTTGATCCAAATGTGGCCAACTATGTAGCCATCCATCCTTGTCTATGTTTGTTAACGGGTGATTGGCAAGGTAGGCCGTATTCGGTTTAAAGAATCGTGAGAAAGTGCTTTCCAAGGATGGAACTAACATAAAACTCGAATTACAAACTCGAATCAGTGAAGTGAACGGGCCAATAGTTTTCACGCTGCCAACTCTTTCTACGGGACATTATTGCAAAAAGAATTTCATTTTCCGTTGTACTGCTTTTTTTTTTTTTTTTTTTTTTTTTTTTTTTTTTTTTTTTTTTTTTTTTTGTTAGTAGGTTTCTATTAGAATACGCTCATCCACAGAAGAAGACCTTGAAAAAGAAAAGAAAGCAAAACTTTGGTCTTGTTCAGTTCGTTAATTCGAGTTTTAATGAGATTTTATGTTATAGCTTTTAACTGTAGTAACAAAGTTAGATGTAATTTTTTATGAGAGTTTTTAACTGTAACAAAACTAAAATTAAAAACTCGTTAGTAGGTTTCTATTAGAATACGCTCATCCACAGAAGAAGACCTTGAAAAAGAAAAGAAAGCAAAACTTTGGTCTTGTTCAGTTCGTTAATTCGAGTTTTAATGAGATTTTATGTTATAGCTTTTAACTGTAGTAACAAAGTTAGATGTAATTTTTTATGAGAGTTTTTAACTGTAACAAAACTAAAATTAAAAACTCGAATCGATAAAATAAACGGAGCTATTATAATTCATTATCCTGATTTTTTTTCCTTTTTAAACGAAATTCGTCATCCTCATGCACGGGTTTTTTGGCCTGGTACTTTTCTTTTTTTAATTAAAGGTGATTCTTTGGTGATATATAGGCATAATTATGACTTGCCTGCAACGAAGGAACTTTTTTTTTTTTTTGACAGAATGAAAGGCATTTTTAAGATTTAAAATACTATGCAAATGTTTTCCATCCAAAATTTAAATGTCTTTCTATCGCAACTTTGAATTATAAATCCAAGTTAGAAAATCCTATGCTAGGGATTACATTCTTTTTAAGATGTATATTACGTACGTACACAAATCATTTAAAACCTGGCTTATAAGTGTGAATTGTGGTATTATGTTTCTAAGTTTCTTCTTCTACACAAGTAAATAGAAGAAAGTTTGCATCAAAATAAGTAAATAAGAAAGGAAGCTAATAGAAGATATGTAGGAAAACTTAAATAATTTTATTCCACTATGGAAATTGGGGACATAAAATTTTGTGGCACAGAAAGGTAAATAGTGTAGAGATTTCTTTGCAACTGATAAAAAAATAGAGAAATTTGAACATAACGCGCGTAATTAAATTATTAAGCCTGGAATAAGCATCAAGCTTTACTACTATAGGTTATTTGTAATCAGAATCGGTCCATGATGATCATCAGAATCTGAGCTGGTACCACACCCATGCATAGTGAAAGATAGAATTAGCAAGTTTCTAAAGAGTAGTTTTTTTATGATTCTTGGAAAGCAGTTTCTCTCGCAGATCAGCAACATCAATCTGATCATCACCCAAGTGACTCTCTGGAACCCAGTTGCCCGTTTTCGGGTCTCTCATCCAAAAGTCTTCTTTCTTGTTAGTTCCCGCCGGGACCGCCTCTTTCGCTGCCGCCATTGGCCTCATCGCCGCCGCCGCGGCCACTGGCTGCACTCTTACATTCTCTGCTGCAACCGCATATGAGTACGTCCGCCTACTGGGAGAAAAACAAACCCAAAACAAGTTACACGTGTATATATATACATATATATGTGTGTGTGTGTGCATGTATTAGAATTTCTTATTAATCGAGAAAACCCTAATGGTTACGTGCTTGGCAAGTAATTACACATATAAAAACCCGGTGTCGTTGAAGAAGAAAAGGAGAACCAACCTGAGAAGCAGTAAAGGGTTTATGGGAAGCTTGGCCATGATTGATTAATGCAAAGAAATTGTATGAAGGATTACTAAGTGGTGCGAATATATTAATATATGAGATTTTACGTGATGGGGAACAAGGAGGAGCGAGGAAGTGATATATATAGAAGCGGAAAGTGGTGGATTAAGAGTACTGTAATTAATTTAGAAGTCGGAGGCTTATTAGTTATAATCTTTTGAGCTTTTGGCATGATTGCCCCTGAACTTATCGTAATTTAGCAAATTGCCTCTAGATTTTTTATTTTGTTAAGTTGCCGTATGAACTTGTAAATTTGTTATAATATGCCTTATTTAACTAAATTTGCTCAATTTTTTATTAGATATAAGGGATTAAAAGTTGAGATATTGAAAGATTTGTGTTACATTTGAATTAGAATGTTAAAATTTTTTACTGAACGTGCTTTTTGACACTAATTTAATACAATCGTCGTCAAAATATAGCATATTGCAACAACTTTATAAGTTGAGGGGCAACTTGCCAAAATTAAAAATTTGGGAGATAATTTACTAAATCACGATAAGTTTAGGGGCAAATGTGCTAAAAACCCTAATTCTTTAGTGACTTAAATTTGATTTGTATTAGGCCTGTAAGTCAGCCGGGTAGGATTGACCTTGGGTTGAGCTGCAATGTGCGGGCTAAGAAAAATTTGGACCACAACACTTCTTTAAGCCAACAAACCAGTAACCATTCGGATTACCTTGGGTAGGCTCGGGGTGATCGGGTTGGTCGGATTGGGCCTTGACATTGGGGTTCTTGCAATTAAGCTCATTATCACTGGCCAAAGAAAACGTTGGGATTGGGCCTGTGTTGTGTGTGTCTGAAAATAGCTGCGTTGTGTTGTGTGTGTTCAAAAATAGCCGTGGTCAAAGAAAACGTTGAAATTGGGCCAAAGAAAACATTTGATTTAAGACTGATTTCTTTCCATGTGCTGATAAATTCGGCCGGGTAGGGGCAATATTGGGTTCCTTGAATCTGCCCCATGACCTTACCCGCGGGTTGGGCATTATTGCTACCGCAAAAAAAAAAAAAAAAAAAAAATCCCACTATTTTCGGGTAGGTAGGGTCGGCTCGGGCGGGTTCGTCAGGTTCGACTTGAATTCTTACACCCCTAATTTTTATGTTCATTTGCACAACACAAGTTATGACTTTAGTTGTGTATGTGAGATAAAAATATTGTAATAAAAAAGTTAAATTTAAATTTTTATGAGAAAAAATACTATTATAATATGACTTAAGTTATGACTTGAGTTGTGTTTGAGTCAAGTACATCACTTGGGTATGGAATATAATAAAATATGGTTCGTACTCAATGTAATATTGCTCACGGATAATATACATAATTACATTGTGCCCGTTTGTTTTCATTTTTGTTTTCATTTTTTACGTTTTCCGAGGAGGAAAAATTGAAACAGGAGAGGAAAAATTGAAACAGGAAAGGAAAATGCGTTTGGGAAGGATCCGTACCAAAACCAAAAACAAAAACGTTTTTGGATTTTTCCCAAAAACTCACTTTTTTTTTTTTTTTTTTTTTTTTTTTTTTTTTTTTTTCACTTTTTTCTGAAAACGGATTAAATCCGTTTTCATTTTCCTTTTCATTTTCTCCCTTCATTCTTCTCTCTCTTCTCCGACTGCCCACACCCCCTCCCCCCAACTCTTCTCCGACTGCCCACCCCTTGATACGAACCCCGCCAACAATGTGACGAAACCCGTAGCCAAATATGGGATACGATCCAAGATCTTCAAGAATTGATGGAAACCGCGACCCGTTGCTTAGCAAAGTAAGAACCTTGGTATGGTGAAGACGCCACAAACGAGTATAGAAATTCATTTGATAAGTCAAGTTTGAACGCCACAAGGAAACCTTGATAAGTTCGGAATAGTCTCTTCAAGAACTCAAGAAGAATAACTCACAATATGAATAAAAATATCAAAACTTTTATTAATTTTCGTTTTTCAGCCTTAAATAGCTGAGTATAAGTTGAAAATGTTTAAAAATTAAAAAGTCCTATCCTACCCTTAATGAGGTGTGCGCCTAAATGAAGATAACTCCTAAAGATAAGATAAAATGCGCCTAAAGCTAACTCCTAAGGAAGGAATCCGAATTTGAGTCTAATTCCTTCCTTTTAAAAACGCCTAATACTTATCCTAGGGAAGGAATCTGGATTTGAATTCAACTCCTTCCTTAAAACGCCTATTATGCAATTTAAATGTTTAAACTTGAAACTTAAACCTAAAAAGATAGAATTATGATAAAATTAACTCTTTATCCGCAATTTGACTTGGTCCATTGCTGGAAATTGCGCCTAAGCCTCTTGGAATATGCAAGTTGGCCATGCAATGGCTTAATGGACGTTTAAGATTGATTGTCTCTCTTCCGGATTGACTTTGATGACTATGATCTCCCCCGCTGCCCCTAACCACCACCACAACCGCCTCGACCTTGCTGCCCCCTCTTCTCCAGAGATTCCTCTTGCTTTGCCGAGAGGACATAAATGGGTGTGTTTAATATATTAAACACACCAATTTAAACGTTTTATTTAATATATTTAATATTATTATTTATTTAATATATTTTAATTTTAAATATCATTACATGTTTTTAAAATTAAACCACCAAACACAATTTCAGTTTTTTTTAAATTGAAAACAATCTCGGAATAAAACTACCAAACGCATTTTCAGAAATGATTTTAAAATGAAAATGAAAACGTTTTCGTTTTCATTTTCATACAAAAAATAAAAATATTTTGAAACGAATTTTAAACGCACTCATTATTAGCATGTCCTTTTTATTGGTTTGAGTAAGAAATTTAAACTGAAATTTATGTTTTTGTGAGAGAAAACTTATAATAAAAATATCGAATTATAATTTAAATTTATAAAAAGAACGGGATAACATGTATGCAAGAACCAAGCATAGAAGAGAGAGAGAGAGAGAGAGAGTTGAATTTTCAAAGAGATTTTATGGTCAATTACACACTCGAATCGACCCTTGAATTTTCAAAGAGATTTTATGGTCAATTACACACTTGAATCGACCCGGCCTAATTAAATACACTTACCTAAATAGGCGTTTGGATTGTATTATCACAATTTGCGAGTGGATGAATTGGTTTTCTGAATAAAGAGAATCATATTCCAATGGCCAACCTACTTTTTTCAATTGTCTGGGTTAGAGAATTTTCCAACCTCTTATATTTCGTAAATGTGGCTAATAATTAGGATTCTGTGAGGACCTTTGTGTATTGCTTTCACATCTTCTTTAGTAACAATACTAATCGCATCTTATTCTTTCCTTAAAAGGGTTCATATAGACAATTAAATCGATTGCTTATTTTTCACAACTTGATCACCCTGGATGACGTCAGACGAATGCGTTAGATCATTCATCAGCATTTACACGACCTCAGCATAATAACTCAAATGGGCAATGCACATGATACAAACACATAACAACACGAACTAAACATATAGAGAAATAAACATAATTTGTATATATATATATATATATATTGTTTTCATATATCTAGAGTGTTCGTTCAATACAATCTAAGGTGATATTTAGTTCATGAGTTCAGAATCATGGTTCATGATTCTGATTTTTAAAATTTAAATTTTTTGTGAGAGAAAAATACTGTAGCGAACCAAGAACTATGATCCTAAATCAGGCCAGAACCCTCGAAACAAATGAAACATAACTTATTTTAGTCGCATAACAACCAATCTAATCAAAGATCGATTCTTAAAAAAATATTTTTTTATCCAATCTAATTATTAGTGTATCATCCAATCCAATCTGATCTAATTAAGATCGGTTTAGATTCGATTAGACCAAATTAGTTTTTCACTTTAACTTTTTGAACTTATATTTTTATTTTTTACTTTCGTGTTAAAACTATTTTTTAATTTTTTTTGTCAAAATTTGATTACTACAGTTGAAAAATGAAGCAAGAAAACATCCATAAATTTAAAAAAAAAATCATATAAATTCCAAATTACTTCAAAGTTGATTAAACATCCAACAAATAACTTAAAGAAATAAGAATAAAGTTACAAACTAATAAACATAAGAAGTTCAGCAAAAAGGATAAAGAAAAACATAAAAAGAAAGTGTGAGGAAAAATAGAATTTAAAGTTTACACCAATAATATAAATATATAAATATATAAATATATATTTTTTATATAATATATAGAGGTTGGACCAATTTGAATTGGGTGTTGTGAAAGTAAAATTAATATTCAATTCAATCTAAATCGGTTTTTAAAAAAATTCACATCTAATCTAATCTAATTGAGATCAATTATTTATCAAAAATAAATTGGATTAGATTAAACTGGTCGATTTAATAGGTTGATTGAATATGATGAACACCTAATATCTTGATTATCTGCAAATATTCCACAACACCCCCACAAAACAAAATTTGCAATACATGTAAAGCGTATTATATCCTTGCCCCCGCCAATCCTTCCATAGCATCGTCAGTTTATAGGAGCTTGAGATCCGTCTTCGTCTTGACTGTTTGATCGGTCGACTGTCAGTTTAGACGTTGCTGGTTATTACAATCTTGCTGTTGTTGAACGTTTCTTCAAGAATTATTTTAAGATGTCTTGGGGCGGTAAGCCCTTTTCTCACCGGTACGGCACTCATCTTTAAAAGCTGACCCTTCAATCGTCAACGCCCATCCGCTGGCTGACGTAGCATGATGATGACCACGTGAAGCTCGGTTGTTGTCCGATGTGGCAAGGTAAATTTTTCCAAACATCTTTAAAAAGATTTTTGTAATTATATAGTACTAGCACCAGCGCATGTTATCAAATATCTGTGCATCATAGAGGGTAGCTGACATAGCTAGTTAAAATATAACTTGTGATTCAAGTAAACTTGCGGTTCTTTTTCATTTTTCTTTTAAGGGAAAATTTCATTACTAAATGTAAACTTGCAATTCTAGTGCTACGGCATTTAAAAAAAAAAAAAATCACCGACCACATCTACACACACTACAATGTAGATTATATATTGATATTTTTCACATTTATTTATTATGATCTATAACAAGAATATTTCACGGAATTTGCTGGATATAATAAAAATAATCAACTTGTCAAGTTGAAGCTCCGACATCTTTATTGGATGAAATCTTCGCGATTACATTATATATAGCATACGATATTATACAATCTCTTACTGTTGGAAGAAGATTGTCAACCTTTATCAGTAAAATAGAATCTGCACAAACAAACCAAAGTAGTGCATTTCCAATGTCATGGAATCATATATACAACACTTTGAGAAATATCCGATTGATTAGAGATTAGTATAATAAGAAATTCTTAAGGAGCAATAATTTATATGTTTCGTTAGGTCATTAATTAGCTCTACTGAATATCTAGTACTTCTCTAGGTTCTCATTAAAATAAAATAAATACAATACAATATAAAGAAGTGGAGTATTTATATCTTAATAATTAAGATATTTTTCTTTTGTTTAGTCACATACAATGATCAATTTATTCAGTGGGTTTCTTATTCTCTCTCTAAAGGACGCGCATGGTGGTGAATATGGAACAAGGCTTGCCAAAACCTCATTAATTTGTGGAAAAGGAGATGTTGAATGTAAAAAGGTTGGGTACCAATCCATTGATTCGGGAATTATTCATCATTTTTCCTAGAGGATTCGCCAACAACGAACCTTTTATTATTATTGATTAGTTCACTATTGTTTCCTTGAGACCACATGTTGCATATATCCACTTTTTTCTTTTTATCCGAAAAAAAAAAGGATTATTGGTGTAATCACGCCCCATCCTCTTTGCCACCTGCACAATTTCGGGACTCAATACCTTTCTATTAATATTCTCACTTATATTTCTTTTTTTAAATAGTTTTTAACCGAAATATTTAATGATTAATAACTCCTAATCCTTTTAACATTGACTAAAACTAATAAATAAGAAAATAAGAAAATAAAAGAAGATCATAAAAGAACAAAGAGATTTAACGTGGTTCGGTAAGATGCCTACATCCACGGACTGAAAAAGTAAAAATGAATTCACTAGTAAAGAGCACTATGAAGAATGCCGCTCTATATAAATAGGGTAAGTTACTCATCTCAAATCATCAAATTTAGAGATAATTTCCTACTATGAAAATAAATACAAATAAAGTCAAACTATAATAAAGGTAACTTTCTCTATAAAAACACCTCAAACATAATTGAGTCTGATTGTCGTCAGTTGGTTCAAGCTTTACAGCAGGAAATAGACCGCCCACAATGGGAAATAGCTCCTCAGTTTGATTTATATATGCTTTTCCTCGTTCAAGTCCTTGTCTTTGGTTTCTTTAGACTGGATTTTTAGAGTTTGTAACCGCCTTGATAGATGCGCCTTTTATGGCATAGTTTTCTGGCTTTGTTTCTTGTGGTCGACTGGTTGACTCTGATATAAATATGGCTTTGCTCAGTGAGCTTATTCAATAAATTTCAGTAACGTCTTGCTAATCTTAGATGTGAAAAGCACACGTGCAATGCACAAACAGAAGAGAAAATACTTCTCACTTACTAAACAATTTGCGGCCATTAGTACTACCTACTTTACTATGTATGCGATTTTCTTCATCCATTTGCCTTGACTTCAACAGAGAAAAAGACGTTTCGCACGTGATTTGTTATGTCCCCTCTCGCTTTTTATCATTTTTTTTCCCCCATTGTTAATCATATGGTTAAGAAAGAATCACTGGGGAAATTCCACTAGCACGCAGTTTTATTAACCCACCTAATTGCAAAGACTATGATTTTTTTTTTTAAAAAAATTTTTATGGATTATTTTGTAAGATATGATACACCATATCACATAATATCTATATTTATGTATATGATACTATCATTTTTTGACATCTCAATTCAGAAAGCAACAAGCATGATAAATACTACTATTATTGAGTGCCAGCTGTTTGTGGGAGTAATCTTGCACCACAAAGAGCCAAGAAGCTAAGAGGTAGGGCAAGGAAAATATGAATATATTATTAATTTAGAGGATTGCATCTCTACTCTATTACAGACTTTCAGATTACCACGTTTTCCATGTTGGGCCAAACTATAGGTTTGTTGGTGGGACCTATGACACTAAAGGGCTAGAAAATTATGTCCATGCACTTTTACTGTATATGTGTGTGTATATATATATATAATGTACTGAAATAACCATGAGAAAAGCATGCAAAAGCGGTAAATATATTAGTAGAAAGCACAAACAAACAAATTTATACACACACACACACATCGATCATCAAATAAAACAAAGGACAGGTAAAACGTGCATTTTTTTTTTTTTAAAAAAAAGAAGAGAAAAAAGTTGTTATCTTATGTCTCTGTGGGGACAAGATTCGTTTTAAATATCCCTAGCTCCATAACTTCACAATCCTCATCTCTGTTCTTCCATTTTCTTCTCCTTCTTTTCTTCTCGTTTTCTAGATCTAAAGTTTCCATTAAAAAAAAATGCTCTTAAAATTCAGGAGCCCCTTCAAGCTAGAAGAGGATCATGATAGCCCTAATAAACCGAACAGATCCTTATCGTGTAATAACAAAACCAACTATGAAACTGATATCGTGGTTGGGTTGCGAATCGTCGAACAAATATCATCACAAGGGGATCAAAATCAACAGTCGAATGTCGTTGTGAAATCCGCGGTGAGATTGAGTCAACCAACACTCAACAACTCGTCTCTTGAGTACTCTTGCTTTCTCAAAACTTGTAACCTTTGCAACAAAGAACTAAGTCTTGATAAAGAAGTTTATATGTACAGGTATGTACTTGTCACAAACTCATTTTTGGTCGCCCTTTTTGGGAATCCGTTTAATGCTTGTTTCTTGTGAAAATATAAATGATTTTTGATCTCTGTGATTAAATAATATGCTAATTAATGCAGAGGGGATCAAGGATTTTGTAGTATAGAGTGCCGCGATCGACAGATTTTCCTTGATGAAATGAGAGAATTAGAAGCTTCTACCAAGCAAATGATTGCATCTTACAGGAGTACTTCTTGCAGTCCTGCAAGGCATGAAACTCGCATTCTCTTAGAAGACCTTCGTCAAAGAGATCATAAGCCTATCCCTAATCACCGAAGAAATCGCGCAGTTGTCATCTCCTAGCTAATTAGTTTTAGATTTTGTGCTGTTTGAAGATGAGCAAATCATCAAATCCAAAAGAGACTGTTTTAGCAGAAGAGAAATTAAAAGATAAAGAAATTTTGAGTATGTGGAATTTTTGTATAGCATTTTGTTACACAAATATTAAGTAATATTTGTTGTTCATCAATAATCTCTCTCTTTCAGTATTCAGCTAGTTTTTCTTTATCTAACCCTTTCGCTTTCTTTCTAATTATTTGAACAAAGAGATATAGTATACTGAAGAATATATGTGGATCGAAGCTGTACTGAAAATAACAAAACTTTGGATAACATTGTAGATATTTTGCCAGCTTGTACTATTGTCTTTTGGAATAGAAATATAGTAAAGGGTCAGTGCACAAATTAATTTACTCCTCATTGGATCTAAAAAATTCTAGATACCATTCATGTATATGCACATACACATAAATAATAGAGATAATGTCCTTTAATTGGTTTATCTTCTTGCAATTTTTGTCTGTTTCATAGAGTATCTATGAGTTTCTTTCTATACATTCTATATCAGAGAAAATGAGTAATTAATGCCAAAAATTAGTTAAGAGTACAGATTTTGGCTCCGTTTGGTAATGCTTTTAGGAAGCCAAAAGCACTTTGTTTTTTCAGCTGAAGTTTGAAATGTGTTTGGTAAACACATAAAAATAGATTCTTAAAAAATCTAGAAGCTATTTTTCATCTGAAATCAGAAGCAGCTCATTTGCTGCTTCTGATTTCAGATTCTGCGGGAAGCTAAACGGAGCCATTAATGAAATATTGGTTATTCCCAAAATAACCTGATCTCTCCATCGTCCTCGTGCACACTTCTCCTCAGCCCCTCCCCCTGAAACTCTCAGCCTCTCAACCTTCGCTTCTCTCGCCTCAGCCTCCAGCCTCCTCTCGTGCTCTCTCGCCTCACCCTCCCTCAGCCTCAACCTTCGCTCATTCAGCCAAAGCTCTCTCCCTCCGTTTATTTTTCTTCTCTCTCTCGGACTCCCTCTCTCCGTTTATCTCCTTCGATTGTCGGCGGCGGAGTCCCCAAAATCTTTGTTCGTCACTGGCTGAGACCGGCGGATCTGGTTGGAGCTCGCAATCTCTGCATTTGTAAGTGCTCGATTGAACTTTTTTTTTTTAATGTCAATTTGGTGTATGGCTTGATGAAATTTGGGTTTTGAATGTTGATTTGGTGTTGGTGGTTTCGAATGTCGATTTGGGTTTCCAGATTTTGTACAAAATTTTGTACAAAATCTGCCATTTGATCTCGTAAATTTATTTTTCCAGATTACTCCGAATCTGTTGGAGTTTTGTTGAGTTCCTTGAAATTGCTAATCGCTGCATTACCCTTTTCCTTATGTTGATCTTTATTGCTGAATATCTTGATGAGAAACAGTTGTGCAAAAGCTGAGATTATAGGACAAATTTTACAGTTTCGGTTCACTGTAATGTATATGAATTGTTTCTGGTGTTTTGGTTCATCTGGGCATAGGCTCCGTTAGTAATGCTGCCATTGAAGAAACAGGGAGAACGGAAAAGAAATTACTAGCCCATTGCATGAGATACTGAATGCAAATGATACTAAAATTTGCAAGTGTTAGAGCCGGGTTTGGAGTTGGAACCGGATGTTGTTAGTGAAAATGTTGCTTCAAGTATGTCAAAATTTCACATTTATCAGCTAATGTGGTCATTGCTATGTGGTTTTATGCTACGATGGTTTCTAATTGGTCTTTTAACATACAACAGCATTTACAGAAAAGGTTGAACATGCTACAATGTTTGAAAATGTTTCATGACTAATGGGTTTTTTCCATTATTCTATTTGGATTGTAGGAACCCAAGCCATCGCACGCCTGGGCGTGCGCACTGGTCGCGCGCTGTGCGTGCACGCGGGGCACGCCTGGTCGCGTGATGGGGTGCGCACGGGGGCTGGGCTCCCTTTTTTTTTTTTTTTTTTTCAAAAAAAAATAATTTAATTTGAACGAATTTAATGCGATCCATGGAACCATATAATTAACGACCAAATTCATCATCCATACATTCATTATCATGAATCAAATATAAACATCCATAAATGCAAGTGCCTACCCATCACATAAATAATCATAGAATTTTCATTGATATTCATAAAAAATTCATAAATATATGCACATAAAATAATGAATAAACTCTTTTATTAAATAAATAAAAAATATCATATTACATCTCATGCTTCTAGGACACTATTCCCAACATTGTCTACTTCATATGAGATGTTTGTTATATGATTTTTATCTACCTTACATTATGATAATTTTTTCCTACTCACCGACAAATGTAAAAGAGGTTGCATATATTCATTCATTCAGTTACCCGTTTTCTTTTCAGTTGGTTTTTTTATCCTTGTGAGCCTTTATACTTTGGTCTCTGTGGATAGAACAGAATGATATAATTTTTTAGGAAAAGGCGATGGGGCCAATTGATATTTTTGAGAAGGCAAAGTTCTATGCCAAAAATAATTCCATAACTCGAAGACTACAACTGTTCCTGAATAATTGTCACTAATGCTTCTTTTAGTTGTAATCATATTGTGAATGAAGAAATGAAAAAAAAAAGAATTAATTATCATAAATTTATTGTTAAAAAATTCAAAATCAAAACATTATGTGTTTTTAAAGTTAAACAAGTATTTTTAAATACCAAAAATAATTATATATATTTAAATTTCATATCATGTCTATTTTGGTCATTTTACATACCCACAGTAATTCTACTTTAAAATTTACCAAACGCTATTTACTGATTTTAGAACCAGCACAACTACTATAATTACAATTTACTAAACACTCAACTGTTTCTTGAAACATCAATTTTTTCTTTCAACACAGCTAAAAATATTTTTTTTAAAATTCACAACATTACTAAACTAAGCCATTATCTCCGATACTGATATTTTCAGCCTTGCGCATGACTCTGGGTGAGTTTGGTATTGCTTTTAGGAGAGAAAAAGCACTTATTGAGAGATCTAAAATCTAAAAATATGTTTGGTAAAACAGATTTTTAAATAATTTTCACTCAATTTAAAGCTAAAAGCAGAATCAGCCTTAGGCTGATTCTGATTTCAGCTTATGCGGGAATCAGTTTTAAGTGTTTAATGAAATTTTTTATTTCCAATTTTACCCTCACTGAAATCTCAAATTTACCACCCATTTTCATTTCAGATCTCTCTACTCTCCTCCACTCGTATCTCTCCATTCTCTACTCTTTGATTTGTCAGGATGAAAAGGACGATTCGCAAGGTCAAGAAACCAGACAATTCTTCCAAGGTAATGCCTCCTATTCCCCCAAAATTAAAACCCTAAACCTTAACCTCCGTTTGGTTCCCGAGAAAATTCAAAAACAAGAACAGAAACGGAATGAATTTTTAGTTAATTTTTGACTTGTTTTTCTAATTGCTGGTTCTCTTGATCTCTTTGCATTCTCCAGCTGGTATGTCTTTCGACGACGAATTCCAATGGATTGGCTTCGAGCATTTCGTCATCGAGATGTGCCTATGTCGCCGGGTGCGTCCTGGTGGTTTACGATGTGGATTCCGGCGCCCAATCGCACCTCATGGTTTCTCATCGAATGCCGAAATCGTTGAGCTGCGTCCCCGTCTCCC